CTTCGATAGCAAAGGCCGTCGAGATCTTGGTCTAGAAAATGTTGGTTCCAGTGTTCTCGTCCAAATCAGCAGCAGCGTTATTCTCGATGTCTTCGTCTTCTCTACTGGCTCCTCTAAGCTCTTCGTAGAATGACTTCGTGACTCGGCTAGGAACAGTATCCCGTGAAAAGAGATTCGACGCCATGGCACAACAACGATCTACCGACTGGAAAGCGATTCGGGTGAGCTGCCGTAGGCGTCGAGGCTCATGATCGGAAGGGAGAAAACAAGGATCTTGGGTTGAAGATGGTTCTGTGATAAAGACAAAAGATTCCTGTGGCTGCCAGCACGACCAGCCTTCAGCCAGAGTTGAGAGAGACGTGTCGTTGAAAGGGAGTAGGCGATGGAGATCGCTTCATCCGAGAAGACGAAGAGGCAAGCGTCGTCGTTGTGACCTCAAGACAGCGCGCGGGGCAGATGAAGTAATAGATGCGGTCACGCTACCGCGAAATCTTCAGCTCTGGTAGCTACCGGATCTGGGTTTGGTAGACTGACCTTGTTGTTGCATCCATGAGGGTTTGGTACGACAGTCAGGTTGCTAACCAGCGTGATGCAGCCTGGGGATCTTATCGGAGAATGACGTTTGGAGAGCCATGCCACATGATGGGGTCAGGCACCCCTGCAAGGTCTCCACTTTGCACGAGACCCTTGATGAATGTCGGTGGCCAGAGCTCGGACTATCCATTTATGAGCTAGAAGGCTGTGTAGATCACGCCGCTGAGAGCTCATCATTTTCGACGGCTCACGCATTGAACAAGTGGTACTATGATCTGGCCATCCACGAACACACACCATCCAGCTCAAGTCCATGAATCGCAATTAGGTCATACGTTCTTCTGTGGCCTATAAATTTTGGCACTCACACGATCCCGTCTGGGTCAACCGAGATGGACGCGGCGACCTCACACTCCTCCGGGTCCTCCCCAGCTCTCTCGAAGGGTCCAAACCCATTGTCCTCAAAGGCCACTGCAATTTTGTCCACTTCCTACGCCGATTCCGAGTTCCGAGAGGCATTGGCTCTTCTAGATGAGAAGCAAATAAACAACCAGCCTCGCGTGCGGCGACAGGTGCGTCTGGATCTTCAGAAGGAGATGATCGAGTGTAATGGCGAGATTATCAATGACTTTGGGCGTGTTGCCGATGTGAGTTTCAATCTTCTAACAGCTCGCCTGGTCCACGTACTGATCTATGATACCAGCAATTGCGTCGGGTACGCCACACCCTTAATCAACTGAATGAGGCGTACGATGAGATGCGAGGGCCAATAGCTACGTCGCATACACAGACGACACCTGTGCTTCAGGATGCTGCTTTGTTGATACAGCAGCGAGAGGACGTTGCCACCAAACAACAGCTTCTTGCAGCGTTTTGTGGCCACTTCTTATTTACCAATGATGAAATCGCCACACTGACCTCGTCGGCAGAACCTGTGAACGAGGACTACTTTGCCGCACTGGCCAGAGCCAAGAAAGTCAGTTCGGATTGCGAGGCCCTGTTAGGCTTCGAGAACCAGAACCTTGGTTTGGAGATCATGGAACAGACCTCGAAGAACCTGAACCTGGCTTTCCAAAAACTATACAAATGGGTGCAGAAGGAGTTCAAAACGCTCAACCTTGAGAACCCACAACTGAATACTTCGATCCGCCGCGCGATCCGGGTCCTTTCGGAAAGACCTTCGCTCTTCCAGGGATGCCTCGACTATTTTGCCGACGCTAGGCATCGCATTCTGTCTGATGCGTTTCACACTGCTCTGACGGGCACGTCGAGTACTGGACAACATGACAACACAGTGAAGCCCATCGAAATGGCCGCGCACGATCCTCTGCGCTACGTTGGCGACATGCTTGCGTGGGTTCACTCTGCCGCAGTCGGTGAACGAGAAGCACTCGAAACTCTTTTTATGGCGGACGTTGATGAGATCGCCAAAGGCCTGCAAACAGGCCGCGCAACAGAACTATGGCAGCTCGTTGATAATACCGAAGACTCCGACATACAAGCTTTCGATGGTCTCAAGGCCTTGAACGAGCTTGTTGATCGAGACGTGTCAGCGGTAGCCAGGATATTGCGACAACGTGTCGAACAAGTCATTCAATCCAATGAAGACACAATTCTGTCCTATAAGCTAGCGAATCTTCTGGGCTTCTACCGCTTCACGTTCGCGAAGCTTTTGGGCGATACTTCTGGGCTCTTGGACCTCTTGGCTGGCCTGGAGACCGAGGCGTTGAGACAGTTCAGATCCTTGGTGCGCGATCATATTGCTAGGTTGCAGGGGGATTTTCAGCAGACGCCGTCGGATTTGGGGCCACCAGAGTTTCTTCTCAATGCGCTCGAGCAGCTGAAAACCATCATGCAAACGTACGAAACGTCCATGACCGGCTCAACGGACCGTGAGAGCGACTTCCAGCCTATCTTGGCTGAATCATTCGAACCATTCATCGCGGGCTGTGAAAGCATGGCTAGGGGAGCAGGGTCTCTCCAAGGTGCCATCTTCATCGTGAACTGCTTGATGGCAGCGAAGTCTTCATTGCAGCCATTTGACTTTACGCGGAATCGAGTGCGTGTGCTTAAGGAGAGGGTCGGGGAGGAGTCCAAAACACTTTTGGCGAGCCAATATCAGTTCCTTCGACATGCCTCCGGGCTCGAGGAAATGATCAGCGCACTCGAGAACCTAACGGCAGATGCTGAAGGTGTCCAAAGACTGCGGCTGCTTGAACCAATGCAACCTGATGCCTTGCGACGTGCTAGTCTTACACTCGACGACTTCTTGCCATCAGCGCTCATAGACGCTGCAGACCAGGTCCAGCATGTGCAAGATCCTAACCTAGCTCGCGAAGTGACAGAAAAGGCTGCCTTGCGGTTCTGTCAAGATTTCGAACATATTGAGGAGATGCTCCTTGCAGCAGACTCTATGGGCGACGTTGATGCAAGCTCAGCAGCAGATGGCATTGCTGAGTCACAGTCACTCCGGGCATTATTTCCCAGAACAACTGGAGAGATCCAAGTCTTACTTTCGTAGCTCAAATAACAATTCAATTCGGAGGTTTGATGCCAAGTCAATGACGTAGACTCAGGCTTCCTAGGGCCGTGGTGATCTTCAAGTGTTGGAACGAGCGGCATGAAGACCATGCAAATACGGATAGCTATACCTGTCGCAGACACATAGGTGGACTTGAGTTCAGTGGGAAGAGAATGCGGATACGCAATCCGGATGCGAGACAATCATGTAATGCGGCTGGTTTGTGCCTTGCGAGCTGTGGACGAAGGCGTATAGCGTCGTCAGCCCCCAGCCAAGGGAGCCCGTATCTCAAAGCAGACCAAGCGCAAACAGCGACGTCATATCACAATCCACCACCAACCTCACTTGCCCACCTTTGCTCTGCAGCTGCAAAGCAGCCTAATCGAATCCCTACCACCCAAACCTCGACAAATCCGAAGACCACAATAACGGTTGCTCAATACACATCTCTAAAGGTGTTTCGCATGCACTGTCAAGACGTCGGTTCATGATCAGTGCGCCTGTGTGGCTATGCCCGCACTCGTAACCCAAGCGGACCACAAGCCTAACTCGATATACCTTCAACTTCCAGCCCCCCCAGAGCAGTAGACAAGCGAATAGCAGAAACGCCTCTTTACACCTGGACACCCCGTCATGCCCCGGCGGTCTTGATGCGATGTCACACAATAGGGGCCTGGCCATACTGCAAAAGACGTACGATGACAGTTACCTGAAATGCTCAACGGCAGTCTATTACGAGAGTCAGGTTCGCGAGTGCTCCTTTTGTTTCTGTTGATCGAGAGTGTACTAATGCATTACTTTTCGACAGGGTAACGAAGAAGATGCGATGCGATGTTGGCGTAATGCCTTGGACGAAATCCTAAGTCACCATTCCAGCAAAGTCCTCCCTAACTATACTCCGAGGTCTGAAACCGAGGCGGCTCTGGTCGACTCCTTGTTGCAGCTCGAACTGCAATGCAAAGAGCGTATCGATCTACTAGAAGCCTTGCGTATGTCTCGGCAGGAAGCACCAAGGTCTTCCACACCGGCGCGTTCTGCCGCTGCAAACTTTACGAGCCCACCTAACATGGCAGTCTCGAGCCCAACATCTGCGCGCGGCTGGATCGGTCAAGGCACCATCCCAGCAGCGACGTATCCCGAATTATCACGCCCTGCCTTGCCCAGTAGACCCTCATTGCCGAATCGGACATCTTCGGAACGAGCTGTCGTGAGTGGAAATGCATCAGGTTCCGGCTCCGGCCCCGAAGCTGGAGTGCTGCCATCTCCGGGTTCCGCACGAACATATTCGGCGAACAACACGAAGGAGATAATGCGTTCGCCCAGCCCTGAAAAGCACACCATGAGAACTACACTGCGCAGCGCGAGACCGGGAGAAAAGACAACCAAGCTTTCCCGCAAGTCTGCCAAATCTGAGGGTCCAGGAGCAAGCAAGGCCGCTACACTTGCATGGAGTGCCTTGACTTCGAAAGACCGGCTCTTGCGAGGGTTAGGCTCTGGTAGTGAGCCTGTATCTTCCAGTTCAAGCCCTCGGCAAAGCAACGAGCAGCCCAAGAAAAGTGCAGGTGTCTCCACTCTGCAATGGGATATCCATACACGGAGGCTCGTCACGCCTCGGGATATGGATGCGGCGTTGGCCGATGGGTCACGTCCTACAAGATGTTCTGAAGAGTTCTCTTACGACCGGCCATCCGCTTTGTCGGTCAGCGCGGCTTCGAGTGCTCTGAATTCCGTCTCCATTCAAGATTCGTCATCGCTGGAGCTCGCTACGCCAAAACATGATCGCATATCCCGATCTCGCAATGCCGCACTATCAGTCCCGGCCGCTAGGGCAGCGCGAAAAGAGGGAACGAGCCATTCCGATATTGATGAGGCACATGACCGACGCAAGAGCACCTCAGATTCTGGCATTAGGCGAAAGGCTGTTGGAGAAGGCCCGAAGCGTACAGAACCTTCTTCTTCAAGCGGACAAGTACGAGACAGGTCCGCGAAAGCGGTCGCGAATCAAGCAGTGAGAAGACTTCGTGCATCATCGCGAGATTCGAGCGCCTCCGAAAACTCAAGTCACCAGACGTCGCCACAGAGGCCAACCAGAAGGGGGCCCAAAGGGAAGCGAAAGGAGGATGCAATTGTTGCTGACACAGACGCGAAGTCATCTGACGGATCAGATGCTGGGGAACTTTCTCCACATAAGACGGAATGGAAGCAACGCAAGAAAGCTATCCTGAAAACCCTGCCACCAGGAGTGGATGAAGGGGCTGCCAAACAGATTTTGAACGAGATTGTTGTGAAGGGCGACGAGGTTCATTGGAGCGATGTCGCCGGGCTTGAGATAGCAAAGAACGCGCTGCGAGAGGCAGTGGTCTACCCTTTCCTGCGGCCAGACCTTTTCATGGGTTTACGAGAACCAGCTCGCGGCATGCTTCTTTTTGGCCCTCCTGGCACTGGCAAGACGATGCTTGCTCGGGCGGTCGCAACAGAATCTCGATCAACGTTTTTCTCAATCTCCGCCAGCAGTCTCACGAGCAAGTATCTCGGGGAGTCAGAAAAGCTGGTTCGCGCACTTTTCTCCTTGGCGAAGGAACTGGCCCCTAGTATTATCTTTGTCGATGAGATTGATTCCCTCCTCTCCCAGAGATCAGGTTCGGGCGAACACGAGGCAACGCGACGCATCAAGACGGAATTCCTGATCCAGTGGAGCGACCTACAGCGTGCAGCAGCCGGTAGGGCACCTGACGAGTTGGACAAGTCTCGTGGAGATGCGAACCGTGTTCTGGTTCTTGCTGCTACTAATCTCCCTTGGGCTATCGACGAAGCTGCACGTCGACGTTTTGTTCGCCGTCAATACATTCCCCTTCCTGAGCCAGAGACGAGGTCTACGCAGCTCAGAACGTTGCTCAGTCAGCAGAAACATGGCTTGTCAGATTATGACGTCGAAGAACTGGTCAAACTCACGGATGGTAAGATTTCTTCAACATAGGAATGCTTTGTTTCGTTCGTGTCGGTCGGAAAACTAACGCAACCTCATTTACAAATAGGCTTTTCGGGCTCTGACATCACTGCCCTAGCAAAAGACGCAGCGATGGGTCCTCTCAGGTCGTTAGGCGAGGCACTCCTGCACATGACGATGGACGACATTCGTCCTATATCTATAATTGACTTCAAGGCTAGCTTGACAAACATTCGGCCTAGTGTCAGCAAGACTGGTCTTAAGGAGTACGAGGATTGGGCGCAGGAGTTCGGTGAACGGGGTGGGTGACAGCAGTATCACGAACCGCATGCCAAGCTGGGGCCCTTCGCTATGAAATCGGCAAGATTGGTGCACTGGAGTTCTGGGGCTATGACGGCGCAAATGGATCCGAGGCTGGAGATGGTTCCAGAGTCTTTCTATGATATACACTGGTATACAGAATGTACATATACAAGCAGCCCTACGCAAAGTACCGGCGTCAATGCTGAAGCAAAGCCTTCATCATCGCTCTGCTAGGGGTGTGTACATGAGCTGACATATGTACGCCGAGCGTGAGTGCTGTCAACCCCGGTCAACTAAGACCACCCAACACCTCCCCTGCTCACGAAGCATCAGCGTGCGCCTCTTCGTTGCGAGCTCGGAGTCGCTCTGCCTTCTCGAGCAATTTCGCCTCTCTAGCTTCATTTCTCCTAGACTCCCTTCGCACGTCCTTCTCGGCCTTCTTTTGGTCTCGCAGAGCTATCCGCTCTTCTGCAGATGGCACAGGGGGTCGGTCCTCAATGGGGATTCCGAACGGAGCAATGATTTGTTTCACAACATGTCGCTTATGCTGAGATGTCGGCCAGCCGGGCATGATCGAGACAACATCACCGGTGCGCAGAGAAGAGTTTGGGTCGTGTACGAGATAGCTTTTGGGGGTCGTAAACATCTGTGAGAAGCCTGGATTAGCATCACGTCAGGGTTCATACCGCTGTCAGTGTGCCTACCTTTTGAACCTTGCGGTTGTATTTTTGCCCGCCAACGCGTACTTTGACAGTCTTCTGCATGAGCCCCGCTGATACAACGACTCCGTGGAGCTCCTTCACGACTTGCTGGGCTGCTTTCGTCACAGGATACGCCATGTTGAAGGGTTTGGTCCCAAACTGGGCGGGCGGGACGAAAGGGCGTCAGTGTATATGTGCGGATATTCGGGCGCTTGGCTGCTCGTCGGAGATGTGTGTGCTTGCCGATCTGGTTGTCGTGACGGCAGAGGGTGTGGGATGTCGTGCACTGCTGGTGAACCTCGATCCCTTGCAGACGAAGTTGTATTCTGAATTGTTCAGGTACGGCAGCCACCTCGGGCCCACTATTGTTCTGAGATGGCTGACAACTGTGGCTCAATGGGGGATATGGCGCTAGCGACGAGATGTTCCTACACAGTGCATCCACTGCCACGCAAAAATATCTTATCGCGGGGTGTTGAGTGGTCAAGGTGCTTCGCTACCGAGGATGTACCTTCTTTGTACAGTCCTAATTTAGCCTGCCTTTTAGGTGAGGTTACCTGCGTTGATTTTCACGAGACAGAAATTTGTCCTCAATTCGGCATTCTGTCTCCTTTCGTTTTGGAGAATTGAAAGACTTCCCCACCAATTCAAGTTTACCTCTACTTCGACATCATGGCAAGCCCCGAAGGTCGTGCCGCTGTTGCGGGAGTAAAACGTCCCCGTAAGTAATACTCCCCCATGGTCTATGAACAAGCAAGCGCGCGTTGGTGCGTACGGTACGGGCAGAGAGCCTGCTCAAGGCAGCCAGAGCTGCAGATCGACGGCCCGAGATTGCCAGTGTAGGCGGTTTAGTGGCAGGGCCTCAAAGCTGCCGTCTTTTTCGCCTATATCTCACGCATCGGGCCCAGACCAGGGTTGATGACAGCCTCTTTTCTGCGATCGTTGTGCTTCATCTTTTCCGCCCTTTCGTGCGCGGGGCAAATTTACGCTTGCACGCACGTTTTTCCTGTTTTTTCACGGAGGGCGTCCATTCGCTGACATGTCTCATGATTCCGCAGGCACGCAGTCTCTCCCGCCCCCCTCCCTTCCTCAGCTCGTTGCGGAACAACATGTTCCGATCACTCCCGCCGACAAGGACAGCAAGAGACTGATCGTTGTGCTTTCGAACGCAAGTCTCGAGACTTACAAGGCATCCCACGGAGGTGCTGGCCGCAATGGCATCCAAGCGCGAAGAAAAATATTCTCTCCTCAACAGCGATGAACATATTGGCATCATGCGTAAGATGAACCGGGACATTAGTGACGCCCGGCCAGATATCACACACCAGGTCCGAACTTCCCACCCTCTGCGGCGGCGCGCTCAACCGCGTCGCAGCCGGCATTGCATGCCTCCGTCTGCATCCAACATGCTGACTTGACTGACTTAGTGCCTCTTGACTCTGCTGGACTCGCCGATCAACAAGGCCGGGAAACTCCAGATCTACATTCACACAGCAAAGGGGGTACTGATTGAAGTGTCGCCTTCGGTCCGTATCCCTCGAACCTTCAAGCGCTTCGCCGGTCTCATGGTTCAACTTCTGCACCGCCTGTCGATTCGCTCGACCAACTCACAGGAGAAACTCTTGCGCGTCATCCAGAACCCCATCACTGATCATCTCCCGCCTAATTGCCGCAAGGTCACGCTCAGTTTCGACGCGCCCCTGGTAAAAGTGAGAGACTACGTTGACACGCTCGGTCCGAAGGAGAGCATCTGCGTCTTTGTTGGCGCCATGGCCAAGGGCGCTGATACGTTTGCTGACGGTCTCGTGGACGAGAAGATTGCCATAAGCAACTTCAGCTTGTCTGCCAGTGTGGCCTGCAGCAAGTTCTGCCACGCCGCCGAGGACTCGTGGGATGTTCTCTGAGTATCACGTGCAGTTTGGCGGCGGCAACAATGCAGCTGCAGCAAGAGCAGGGCGAGCACGGAACATGCCATGACTTGATTCAGCTGTTCCAGACAGGGCAGAAGAGGGCGTTCAACCAGGAACTCTTGGCGGGTTTGCCGTTCCCACGTGCCAATTCAACCTAGGCTATCGTGTCTTTTGTCGATCGGAGGAGGATGAGTCTTCGTTTGCACCTTGATCTTTACTGCGGACAAGTGACTGCCTGGTAAGCCTCATTGTCGCCGGCACCCTTAAGGAGGGGCGCATGGTATGCCACATGTGTTCTTCTACAGGGCGTGACGGAGATGGAGAACACCAGGTGCGAGACGGTGAGTGCTCGAGAGAGGCGACGATGTTCGCTCGAGGCATACCGTGCACAAATTGTGCCTACCCTTTTGCACTGGCTTGACCGGCCATAGTGTTCGCTTCTCTGGCTGGGAAAGGGGATGCAATATAGGTAATGTGAGTGGATGCAGGGGCCCAGACCGCCCGCAGTGCCAGTAAATGTAGAACAATCAAGAGATACTCGGCAGAACCCAGAGCGGACAAGTCTTGTGTGGGCTATGTTCTAGACAAATGACGTGAGGCGGAGCATACTCGTTGGCATTCGTCTCGTGCCCAGTCTGGTGACGAACAGTTAGGCATACTTTGATGCGGCATGTTGCTGCCCGGTCACCTCTCACCAGTATCACTGCGCCGACCGTGTGGTGCTGGGCCAGTCAGTACGAATTCGGGTAGGCTCGGGGGTACGGTAGTATGGACACGTAGTGAGGGCCGTCATGATACCGCGCTCGTACTGGTCGTCTGGTGGGGGGCGGTTGGATAGGGGGCCCAGGTCGCGACCCCTTCGATGAGGCGGCAGGCCGAGCGGCCTATCACGAAGTACGACCAAGCTGAGGAGCCCAAGACTCCAAGTGGGTAGTGGAGGGTTCGAACAGTATCCTCTCGCTTCTCCTCTATGGGTACAACGTGAACGAGCATGCAGCTGCAGCGAGGGCTCGGATGGCCCCGCGGTGGCCGCCCAACCCGCCCTATTCGTTGTAAGCGCTCCATTCGCTGCACCCACGACTCGAAGGGGGCTGGCGGGTCAGACGATTCGGCGGGTGAGGGGAGGGGCAGGCCAAAGAGAGGCGGTCGGTCTCCCGACTCTCCTTCTGGCAGCAAACAAGTAGGTACGTAGGGAGGCAAGCGGGCAAGCGGGCAAGCGGGCAGGCAAGCGACGGACGAGGCGGGTTTGGCGGCTGGCACTTGCTCACTCATTCATTGGGAGCGACGAGTGATCAGGACCGACCGAGCCTGAGCCCTTCCCGCCTGCTCGTTGGGGTCTAGATTCCATCCAGGTACAGCATGCGTTCACTTGCCCTGGCTACTTCATCTGTCTTCGTTCGGACCTTAGGTACCTGGGGTATATATGAGCATTCTAGGACCCGACATCGCCTGATGATTGCCGCCGACTTGCTTGACATCAGCCTTCTACGACAACCACAGCAGCATCATTCTTGTTCATTTTAATTTCTCCCAACTCTTTTCTCTCCGTTTTTTTTTCAACACTATTTAGGTCATCCTCTTCGAATCTTGATCCGCCCCAAAATCTTGGCTCACACTCCACGGTCGCACAGCACGAGGTTCCAGCCATTGACTACTGGCACACCAGGATTACTCGCCCTAGCCCAATGCTGCCCTTCTTTGAGGTCTCTCACTTGCCGTCTTCATCCTCTTTCTACTCGGCGGTTCTGCAGCCGCTGGGTCTGTATTACATTTCCGCGGCATCTCAACCCGGCGACGAAGTCGCTACAGTGCCCGCACCCACGCCGTCATCGCCACCGTCATCCTCTGCGACTGCGCCTGCGCCTGCGTCTGAGAAGCTTCCGGCGGCCATCACGTACGGCACCTCCTCACCGCCGGTGCCTGTTTTTCAGATTCGGGAAGCCCATCATCCAAGACTCTCGAACGTCACCTTTTCCGCTGCTTCGACTCAAACGGTGGCTGACTTCCACGCATTTGCCATTCGGGCGAACCCGCCTTTGTCCGGGGTTGTGACAGCGGCACCGTCCGTGACCTCTCAGGGACCGGGACTCGGGCTTGGCCTAGCACACGACTCACAAGCTCACCGCGGTTGTGGCGACTGGACCCGCACGTCGATCACCGATCTCGACGGCAACATCATGGACGTGGTCTATCAAGACCCCTCTTCTCGTGCCCCTGCTGCCCCTTCTCAGCATGGCGGCTCAGTAGCTGGCACCCATCGGAGTTTTTCTACACATGAAGAATCGAGCCGCATCCTCGACTGGAACTTTGACGTAGCGGCCTCTGATCACAACCCGTGGGTCGGCCAGCAGCCCGGATCCGCCTCCGTGGTTTCTGCCCGTACAGTCCGCCCCGGGACTGAGCCCTGTACTGTTCTGCGCCGCAGCGTCACAACCTCCATTATCGAGCAGCAGCCCATCGCTACAGCACGCGATACTTCCTCGGGGTTCGACACCACGACCGTCGTTGGCGCGTTACTTGGCGCCGCCGCTGGTGCTGCCGCTGGTGCCGCCTTGACCTACAGCATGCTGAGGGGCGAGCGGGAGCGAGCTCCACGCCAGGAGTTCGCCGTGCCTCCCCCCGTTATTCGAAGGTCTACGTATCCCGATCGACTCCCAGCCCTGCAAGACGGTGGCCGCTACGTTGAGGTCGAGCGCACTGTCGAAAAGATTCGCTACCCGGAGCCTATGCTGCTCTTACCGACCACCGTCCGGCACCGCAATATCTGGCCAAGTACAGCCATGCCAATGCACCCCGTGACCCGGCCGCCGAACAACAACTACGATGACGGGCGTAGCCGTCAAAATCACCGGATCCGTCGGTTTCCTTTCGGGGGGCTCGCCC